CGACATACCACTGCTGTTTGTTTTCTTTAGCTTGGATTTTCTTGGTTTCTTTTTACATTAAAAGTGAAAAAGGGGAAAAAACGGTGGTTGGGGCGGGGTAACATGTATGTGAAAGGGGAAGGGGGAGTACAATTTGTATTTTGTGGAGGATCTTCAAGGACGACATCGCTCTTAAGAAAAAGTAGCATGATTATAATCATCAAATTAATCATTGTCTGACCGGGCAGAAATACGTGTTTTTATAGAAGGTAGTGGGTATAATAAGTAAAAGAAAAAAACATTTATAGTATGAGAATTATCATAATAAGTAAGTAACTTCATTCAGTGTTTAAGGCCATTGGCCCTCATCACACCATATAAAACCTTCATTCGTTAAATAAAGTTTCCACAACGAAAGGTACAGATCGTGCACATATTTCTTATCTTGGGTCAAACATTGTATATTATTTCTGTCACTGGACCGATTCAGGCTGGGGGGAATTAACAATGTCCATAATAAGTTGTTGGTCACTGAAGTCCTCACCTAGGGAAGACATATCGTCCACGAGAACTACCTCCTCCAAGATGTGCTCAGGAGTGCGGTCTAGGATACTGTGAACACTGCGCAACAACGTGCACCATGCCTCGTTGTGGAAGATTAGAACCACACTGATTTGTTGGGTTGTCTTTGTACCGTTGATTAGCCCGCGACACCTGGGGAAGGAAGCGAGGAAAGAATCGTTTTTTCCGGCCCACTAGTATACTGTATATCACCAAGTATAGGCATAGAATCTAATTATGATATTATCCTTGATCGGGCGCTCTCAAGACCGCTGCACTGTTCTGCCTATTTGAACTTCACCACACTGCTGCGCACCTTTGGCGTCTAAAAGAAGGAAAAAACACCCTAGCTATAGATCTAGTCGCGTGCACGCGTAATTTTCCCTTCTGTTCTCTTTATGGCTTCAAATAGAGTCAAATGGTGCGCTCAATGACAGGGTCGTTTGTGGGGGGGAGGTTTATGATGCTCGTGAGGCTTCGAATGCAAGTCTTACTACATCTGGGTAAGGGTTACTGGGGAATAATACTCACAGATTTGGGGCAGGGGATGGGGGGGGGTACAGAAGCTTTGAAAAGTAGGTAGTTGTCTTCCCCATATAGCACAGTCATAAGCAGTACAGGCTTTTCTGAGAAAGGCACTATCATAACGTTTCGTTTGTAAAAAAACGTCTATTCTAACAAAAATGAGGCATGAAAAAATCATTTTCAATTTTTTTTAAAAGAAGCACATTGTGGGTACTAACGCTGAGTTGGAACATTCTGGCAAGCTCCGACGAACGGATATTTTTCGGTTGACAAACTCATTAAAGTTATGAGCCTTCCAGCCTTCTCTCATTTCATCTCTCTCCTTTTTCGTCAAAGTTGTGTCTTTGATGACGACCGCTTTGCCATTTTGTCCTGAAATGAAAAACATTCTGTGTTGAATTAGAGTTACGTCTCAAAAACTGGAAACCACAGCTAAAAGTTACATAGTTATTGGTTTTTTAATTTATACTTGAAAAAAAAACGAGAAAAGAAATGTAAGTTTTGTCAAAGATCTCATTTGAATTCGTTATTAAAATGAATGCCCAATTGCAATTTGAATGTCTCTAAAACAGTGCAGTTGTGGTAGACAGATGGTCTTATTTTGCCTCCCCGTCTCTGCTAAAGATAAGATGAGAGAACTGCAACTGACTCAAAATATCTTTGTAGCTGTATTCTAATATCTGTTATATTCACTGCACTCAATTGTCCATCAATAGTAATGCTTCTCCTATTTCAAGACATACATGCAGAAAAACAATTTTAGATTACCTTTTGTTTGGTCATCACATGCCCTCTTAAGTACTATTCTACAAAAATATCCTTCTGTATGTTTCCATGCCAAGGGACTGCATGTTACTCAAACTGTTACAAGGTTGTTGTTTAAAGATAGATTTAAAGTTAACGTAGATAAAGAACGATAACAGTCTCGCCTTACTAAATCATACGTTGGCTCAATCTGGAAATGTAAGAAAATCAAGGCAATAGTAAAAGAGCTAAATGTATGCTATTTTTCCCAGTTGAAAGCTGAAACTGAAAAAAAATTTAAGTGGTTGATTTTTTATTCCTAAACTTAACGTGTTCCCGTCTGTGAATATGTTTGTTGTGTGTGTGTGTGTGTGTGTGTGTGTGTGTGTGTGTGTGTGTGTGTGTGTGTGTGTGTGTGTTTGTA